GCTGAAACTGACATCTGCTGCCACCTTGTGGAACTATCCTCCCACTCCAGGCTATTACAAGGAGTGCTGAGGGCTTTGAATCCTTGCAAAAGACAGTTCCTGCTTTCCCAATCTTTTTATTTTTAATATATACATACCTATTTTTTTAATTGAGGCAGTGGTGGTTCACATTGTATTTTGGAAGAACAGGATCCTTCCTTGCCCCCCCCCCCGCTCTTTTCGGAGCTGTTACTCAAAAGAGTTATCACTACAGAAGCACCCCTAGTCCATCACCATGTTTGTGCTTGTGCCTCCCCCTTTGACTATCTTAGTTCTAGAGTCTGCTTTCAAGGGTTAGTTTTTTAGTTTGGCTTTATCTGACCCCTTGTCTGGTTTCTCTATATTCCACATACTCATCGCACCATCTGGTATTTGTCTTTCTGTCTGACTTTGCTTAGCACAATCTCCTCCAGTCCCATTCATGTTGCTGAAAATGCCATGAGTTTATCTTTTTTGTTTGCAGAGTAGTAGTCTATTGTGTGTGTGTGTGTGTATACACTACACCATTCTTTCATTTTTTAAAAGATTTTCATTTATTTTTTGCATAGAACTGGGGTGCATGCCAAAGGTGGGGAGCACTTGAGAAGTGCAGGAAGCCGCACTTCTACAACCCGATTTCTAGAGTTTGTCACTTGATTTTGCCTGAATCTTTTGTTTCTCTATATTCCACATATAAATAAAAGTGTCTGGTACTTGTCTTCCTCCTTCTGATTTGTTTTGCTTAGCACTTTCCCCTCCAGGTCCATCCATGTTGTAATAAATGGGAAGATTTCATCTCTTTTTATAGCTGAGTAGTATTCCATTGTTTGTATATAACACATCATCCAAATCCATTCATATGTGCTCAGGCACTTAGGTTGTTTCCATAACTTGGCTTTTGTGAAGACTACTGACATTAAGATAGAAGTGTATGTACCCTTTCAAATTAGCGTGTTTGCATTACTTGGGTAGATACCTAGGAGTGGATCTATTTTTAATATGCTGTTTTCAGTAGGGGCTGGACCCGTCTACACACCCACCAACAGTGGATGAGTGCTCCTTTTCCTCCACATCCTCGCCAACACTTGTTATTTCTGGTCTTTTTGATCTGGGCCATTCTCACATGTGTGAGGTATTTTCTTTCTTATGGTGGTTTTGACCTGCATTTCCCTGATGAGCGGTGATGCTCATGTTTTTCATGTGCCTGTTGCCAACTGTCTTTTTTGGAGAAGTGTCTATTTACCACTTTTGCCAATTTGTTGATAGGGTTATTTTCTTCTTTTGTTGACTTCTGTGAGAGCTCCTCGTTAGATGTACCATGTGCAATTACACTCTCCCATTTGGTCAGGTGTCTTTGCTTCTCTCATTATGCACAAGCTTTTTAATTTGATGTAGTTGCATTTGTCTGTATTCTTTTGTTTCTCATGCTGTTGAGACTAATCCACAAAGACATCACTGAGGCCAACATCATGGAGTGTTTCGCCTATGGTTTCAGGTCTTACAGCCAAGTGTAATCCATTTAGAGTCAAGTCAAGGAAATCCTTTGTGTTTTAAGATCACTTCACACTCTGAAAGATAGCAGCCTTCCTCATCTACTCAACATCTCTCATGAAATCATAATTTCTTTAAAGTTCTGCATTTGTTCTTTCTTGATTCAGCCACACCAAACTCATAGAAAGCTGCAACCAAGGTGATACAATGAGTGCCCCAATAATATGAAATCACAGGTGTGTGGCCAGAGGCCTCTCATCTGAGGTTTTGACAAAGCATTGGAAGTCATGGTAGTTAATGTCTTCAATGTGGGCATCCCTCCACACTGAAGGAGAAATGGAGTGCTCAAACTGCCAAGTGTATTGGTTTATTCCTGGGCTCTGAATTTGATTCCACTGGTATGTTTTTGTTCCAGTAACTGTTTTATTACCACAGCTTTGTAATGTAGTTTGAAGTCTGGGAGCGTGATACTACTGTTCTTGTCAGGATTACTTTATATATTTGGGTTTCTTTGTGGTTCCATATGAATTTCGGTAAGATTTGTTCTATTTCTTTGAAGAATGCTATTTAAACTTTGTGTTCTTTTTTTTTTTTAAGATTGATTTATTTATTTATACAAGCACTGGGTACAGTCAGAAGTGCGGGAGGCCGAGAGAATTCACCAGAGCCAGAGCAGGGAACAGAACAGGCAGAAGGACCGAAGTACACCGCTGAGGGGGCAGGAGAGGTCTGCGCACCATGTGGGACCCTCGCCTGGCGGCCAGGGATCGAACCGGTGCTGCAGAGGCTGCGGGCAGCCTCGCAACCCAGCACTCAACCGCTGCACCACCGGGGAGGCCCTAAACTTTGATAGGTTTTGTATTCTATTGGTCTATTGCTTTGGGTAAAATGACTAATCAGTGTTCATCCTTCCTATTCATGGGCATGGAATATCTTTCCATTTCTTTGTCTTCTATTTCTTTTAACAATGTCTTACAGTATTGTAACTTGATTATTGCAGCCTGCCACTTTACTGATTTTTGTTTTAGTGGAATCTGTAAGGTTTTCTATCATCGGCAAATTGTGAATTTTACTTCTTTCTCATTGACTCCTTTTATATCTATCTCTTTCTTAATTGCTCTAGTGAAGACTTCCATCACTAAGGTGAAGAGTGGTGAAAGTGGACATGCTTGTCTTGGGCCAGATCTTAAAGGAAAAATTTCCGTTTTCCACCATTGAGAGTAATGTTAGCTGTGGGTTTGTCATAAATGGCCTTTATTATGTTAGGTGTGTCCCACCTATCCCCAGTTTCTTGAGGGTTTTTAATCATAAAGGATGTTGAATCTTATCAATGCTTTATTTGCATCTATTGATATGATCATTTGATTTTTATCTTTCTTTTTTGTTGATGTGGTGAATTACGTTGATTTTTTTGGATGTTGAAACATCCTTGTGTCCCTGGCATAAATCCCACTTGTTCATGATATATAATCCTTGTGATGCATTGTTGGGTTTGGTTTGCTAAGATTTTGTTGAGGATTTTTATTTAATAAGCTTACAAACTGTTCTCATATACATTGTCCTTTTGCGGTTATGTCAGGCAGGAGGGTAAATACAGGCCCTGTTACTTCATCTTGGCAGGAGTTAAAGTCGGCAAGGGCACTCTTGACTTAAATAATTTCTCCGTGCATAACATTTTTAAAGTTTTCTTGGTGCTGTTTCAAACTTGGAGATAAAAAAAGTAAAAAAGTAAATCATTTGAGTAGTGTCATAGAGTATTGTTATGATTTTCCTGCTCTTTGGAAAAAAGATTTGTAAAATCACCACCTTAGATTTTTTTTGGCTTAGTAAATAGCATGAATCCCAAGTAATTTTATATCAAGGTATCCCAAGCAAAAGAATGCTTTCATTTACCCAAATTGCCTATCTCTGTAACATAAAGCAGTTGAGCTGAGCTTATGAATACATGTAGGAAGAACTGGCAGTGGATTGGTACCACTGCTCTTGCCAGAAGCTGGAAATTTCACAGAAACTCCTCTCCCTGTACAGTTAGAATTGTTTTACAGTGAAATGAACTCGTGTGAAACTTGAAAAGCAGGAGAGTGGAGGTCTCTGAAGGTTTTAAGGTTATAAGGTCTCAGGGTTATAAGAAGCAAAGATGCGAAGGTGCCTGGTGTACACCAGCTTTTCCTCCATCTCCCGCACTGCATGTCCAGCTCAGCCTCCTGGCCGCTGGTCCTGCTGACCAATTGGGGCTGTGAGACAGGGACTTGGCATTAGGCCTACTGACACTGACTTCCACACACCTTTCCACATGTTCCCCTTCGTAGACCCAACTTAAAAAGCATACTTTAGGCATTCTTGAGTCATTTTGCAAGCTCCAAACTGTTTGCCAGTGCCAGTGCTTTGTGTAAATGCTTAGCACTGTCCCTCTGATCCCCTAAAGGCTCCCTGCAAGACCTACTCTTCCCAGGTAGTTACATGTCTGTGTAAGCTTGAATTCTATATTAGTCCCCTTGTTTCTATAACACTTGTCTTGCTTCTGGGCTCAATGAACTCAAACTAATACTGAGGTCAACCACCCCCACCCCACCCCCTATTTATCATCCTTGCAATAAGGCTGTCTGAAAGAGATTTATTTCCTCTGTGGAACATTACAGGAGTGGCTGGGTTGTTACTGTTGTTACATCCGTTGTCATCAAAATACCCTGGGAACTGACCGAATGTCTTCATCTCAAGTCTGGGAAACACAGGTACCAGCAGAGTTAAGCAAAGAGCAGTCAAGCGATGTAAACTATTCACTCTGAAGGGAATGTATGAACAGTGACACTATCTGACCTTGTGGCCAAGGGTTTGAAGTAAAGAGAAATAGCTGGTGCCACTTCTTTGCTCCTAACCACCAAATCAATCATCATCTCTTTTTTTCCCTTTAAGTGTCATATTAGGGAATGCATACTTTAGTTGAAACCTGGAGGCGGTCTGGGAAGAAATTAAATGGGTTGTTTCTAGCCTGTACAAAAATATATTTTACAATCCCTGACTTCAGTTGCTTCAAAGGCTCGAAGTGTCTATTCTCTCATTGTGGCCAACCTTTTTCTACATCTGATCTTTTCCCTTCTTTTTCTTTAGTTTTTAGAATCAGTCATTCAACTTTAGATACACTTTTCAGAACTGAATTGAATTATAACACCTTGTGTTCTGTTCTGTTTCAACCAGGGTCTCAGGATAATAGTTGTAGAGATTGTGTGCTCATTTTAGAAGTATCTCGTTGGTTTCAGTACGGTCTACATTTTTTAAAGTTTTTTTGTGTCTTTTGGTTATAAAGAAATTTTATATACCTCAAAAAATGTTAAACCTCTTTTTTGAAAAGTCCAGGTAAGCCTTTTTAATGTGTTTTCCCATTTGTTGTGAACTGTAACCATGTTGTTCTGTAAAGTATGGTAAAATTTCATCAGAAGAAATTAGATTCCAGGAAGAACTTCTAAAACAAGGAACACATTGTATTACTCTTAAGTTTTTTTTAAAGATTTATTTATTTATGCATACAAGAACTGGGGCACAGGCCAGAGGTGCAGGGGGTGAGAGGATTCACCAGAGACAGAGTGGGGAGCAGAACAGGCAGATCCACTGAAATACACTGCTGAGGGGAGCAGCAGGCGAGTCAGGAGAGGTCTGCTGCGCCATGTGGGTCACCTCCCTGGCTGGGGATTGAACTCGTGCTGCAATGGCTGCGGACAGCTTCATAGATTGCGTCCCAACCCCCTGTGCCACCAGGGAGGCCCCTATTACTCTTAAGTTTTATTAATGCTTTCAGTTTTAAGTCATTTAAAACAAGACATGTGCTTTAAAAAGCATTCTTATACATAAATATACTAAAGGATGAGAAAGTACTTGATCCTTAAAACATGCACATCAATTTTATTCAGGTGTGTATAAGAAAGGGAAATAATCTTTTAAGTCATTTTTTTTTTTTGGATTAAAGACGTTTGGAAATCACTATTCCAGACTGCCAAATGCTTTCTGGGAACAAATATCTTTTCCAGTAGGAAATATTGATGTAATTAAAAGGTATTAGTGTTGATAAGGGGGGGGGCAGAAAAACATTTGTGCTAGGATCAGCAGGAAGAGTTCCAACAGGACTGAAATATGTCAAATAAATGAACCAGGTAGCAGAGCCAGATAATGTGACACATATATTTCAAGGCACATGACTAGGCTAAACAGGTGGGTAGGTTTCATAGGCAAACTGTTCTTTCACTGGGAATATAGTCAACTAATATGATTTCCATTTACTGGCACTTACTGATAAATAAATGCAATTTTATCTAGGGCAGCAAATGTCTTCCTTTCAGAAATGTGCCCAAAGTATGTATTTGCATGTGTTACAAGTAGTATGATTACACACAGTTTAACTGTCCATCCTCGAGTTACACAAAAGGCTTCTTCAAAACTGGGCAGATCAAAGAATTTATTAAACCACAAAGGATGTTCAAACTATTATTCTCAAACCCAAATCCTAGAGTTGACTCTTGACTACGTTCAATTTTGGGTTTTCCAAGACTGGGAAAATTCCCCACACCACATCCCTTCATACAGCTACAACACTAACACATATCCACTATGATTCTCTTCGTTATCTTTGGTGAGCCAGAGGAATGTGCCTCCTCACTCCCTCCACTATCCATTCCATTAACTATATAATTGCCCTAAATAGCCACTGAAGCAAAATTAATATAAAAAGAACCACCTTAAACAGCATTTAAGCCATCATCTGCTCAACTCAACTGTTGACAGGGAAAGCAGATATCAAGCAATGTGAGGCTGGTGAGAAGTCACAACTTTATTCCTGAAAGTCAACAGTGGGAGGACAAGGATAATTCATGTGCCTCTTCTTATGGGCCAGCAAAATGTACCCCATCTGACAGAGATATTTAATACTTTACCTGCTCAGGCTCCTAGAAACAAGCAGCACCAACAATTTATTACAATTCTCCATTTACATTGTTTTGAAGCACCTAAAACTCTTCCACAACAACAAAAGACATTAAGATAAGTCCTTAGCAATACTAGCTATCTCTTGAATACTTCTGTGTGCACATATAAATTTCCTCCATAGTTTTAGCAGACAGCTCCTAAGACTGGTGGTTTCTACCCTGGTGATAGTTGTATGCAACCACAAACAGAAATGTTTCCCAAAGTAGATGACACTAACAACAAACCAAAGGAACAAGCAAAATGCCTTTTTAAGGCAACTACTGCAATAAATGGTTCAATCTGAAGTGCACTGGAATAAATTGGTGGATAGGACAGAGATAAATTTGGTGGCATAGAACAAGATTACAAAAAGAGAAAGAAGAGGGTTGCTGAGACCGACAGACATCATCTGGCAGTATTAAAAGGCTTGAGTCACATGAATTGCTTTTAACTCCTTGTTCTCTGATATCCTTGGTTAACGATAACTTTTTCTTTTTTTATTTCTTCACACAGTTTGGCCATGTAAATCCACCACAGAGAGGTGACACAATGATATAGATGAACACCTGGAGGAAGGGGGAAGGCAATTTTATTTTTTGAATCTATCATATGCTCCTAAATATATAAAGCCAACACCTATTAATACAAGCACAAGTGCCATTAAAGTAGCAGTTGTGTAATAATACAACCCACTAGTCAAGGAAGTGGAATTAAAATGACCCTTTCTGATATCTCCTGTACTTGAATTCCACTCTGCTTTCAGCAGAGGGGCTGTCTTCACCGGGCACTGTGCAGAACCCAGCTATAAGACAACTGTTACTGGCAGGCACATCATCAATGGTCATAAAGATCACAAACTACCACCATTCCCTTTAAGTATTTTATTGTCAAGTACATTTCCAGATTTTACACATGGATTAATTTTTCATTATTAGGATGAGAAAAGTGTATTAAAAAACAATTAGTAGAGATCTTACATCCATATAAGCAAGAATGCTGCTACAAAATTTTCAGTCGATAATGACAGTTATTATTATAAAATCAAAGAAAAGTTGATTTAAGTAACACTGCAAAAACATTTATTCTACTACATATGAGTTAGCGATTTAATTGTAGTATTGAAATTTTAAATTGTATTTTTAATAGTATGTGCTTGCTCATATTATGTTCCAAAAATATATTTTAAACATTAGGTTCACTGCATTAGCTACTTTGCTTTACTTTACAATTGTAACTTTTTGAGATTAAGTGACTTATTTCATTACTCACATGACTGAGGAAAAATAATTCCACGTCCCCACTCCCCAATCAGAAATATATTTTGCTGCCTTCTTCCCCAACAAATGTTGGGGGGGGGGACAGTTACAGCAAATTATAACCATATTTGTGCCCATGTGCACGCACACTCACACACACACACACAGGCAATATTTGCCACAGCGGAACTACAAGGACATTTAAGCTGAAGGACAATGTGTTAGGTACCATCTTTCAGACAAGTCAATACTGTGTTGAGAACAGGGCTCTCCATGAAACAAGTGATCAACATATAATCTGAACTCAACAACAACGCAGCTTCACAAACCAATCTAAGGAAGGAAAAGCTAAGCTGAGGAGCTTAGAATGCACCACCTGAGGATCATGAACAAGGAAACACTCAAATCGTGGCACGATTCCCTGGGTAACATGTAGGACCTACGGCTGTACTTCTCTATTAGGAGGGCCCAGGGCCTTCACTGGGCTGGGGGGGAAGGCTGCCTTGCCCAGAGCACAGCGCCACCCTCCCCACTCCTGAGAGCAGCGGCCCTCAGGCTTTTAGTTCAGGACTTCTTTACTCTGAAAAATTAGCGAAGATGCCAAAGAGACCTTGCTTAGGGGGCTTGTGACTGTCAACACTAACCATACTGGAAATGAAATTTAAAAAAAAGGCAATATAACGCACTTCGAGTGTCAATAAGCCCATTACATATAACTACTTCTGTGAAGTCAGTTTTACATGCCACTTGGCTACAGTGACAGTGTCCAAATACTAATCTGTGTTTTGAATATGTGATTAAAGCATACAATCAGTCCACTTTAAGGCAGATTATTCTATATAATCTGGAGGAACCTGATTCCATAACCAGCTGAAAGGCCTTAAGAGCAGAGCTGAGGTTTCCTTGACCTGTGGTCACCTTTGCTCCTGCCCCAGAATCCAGACTGTGCTTCCCATGGACTTGAGACGTGCCTAGCAGCTCCTGCCATCATGTAAACTAATTCCCTGGGATATAATCCAGAAAAATCAAAGACAACAGTACATCTGTTAACAATTGCAAGTCCATGAAAATCAGACTAAGAATAGTGAGTTCTTAGAAATTTTAAATATGGTTGAAAATACACACACACAAACACACACAGAGAGAGAGAGAGAGAAGTGCTGGATAGAAGAATAAACAAAGCTGAAAATAAAATTTGTTTGCTGGAAGAATGAGCTTATTCTCCCAAAATGTATGCAAAAGAAGTTTTAAGAGCCTTCTAGACGTGTTGGATAGTTCAAAAAGGCTTACATGCAGATTCCAAAAGGAGAACAACATACAAACTACAGACAACAGAATGACTAAATATTAGGAAATTGAACTCACCATGTATTATAACCTCTTACTGTGTATCCCAAATGAAAGGATAATTCATTACAAGTACATTTAATAGTATAATTCAATACACTAACATTAAATGTAATAGTCTATCAATTCATTGGGTAGAGATACAGTTTCCTAAAATTAAATGCCTATTCCTACCAAAAAACTTCTAGCAGTCTTGAATTCATAGAAAATATCACTCTGATAAAAAAGTAGAAGCATTCCAAATAAAACTAAGTACTAACTAAAGATGCCCATGGCACCACAATTATTCAACATTATTGTCAAAAGCAAGAAAGTAATATTAAATTATTCACAACTGTGTGTATGTATAACTTCTTTATGAGGCTAAAATTAACAACCAGTATCACCCTTCACCTACAGCAAACAGCAGCTCGTGGCCCACAAGTTATGTTTCTGTGGTTTTAAAGGTTGTTTAAAAAAAGGAATGTGACAGAGACTATACGTGGCCTACAAAGCTTAAACAGTCACTACCTGGCACAGGCAGAATATTCGCTGACTACTGACCTTTACCACAGAAAAGAATCAACTGTAAGAGTCATGTAAGCGCACCAGACACAGAACAGATCAATCATAAACAAGAAAATAGAAATAAGAAATGGAATCAACTAGAAAAGTGAAATACAATTCAGGAGACGGCTTTAAGTGGAGACAGTATTTCATAGTGACTTCCTGCTGCCTGTCATGAGTCTCACCACCAAACCATACATTTCAGAGAGGAAAGCACTGAGTAAGCATTCCAGCACCTCACTGCCTGGAAATTGAAAAGTAAAATCACACGCTTTTATAAAGGACAGAAACTTACGATTGATACGACGATGATGATGATAGTGAGCTTGAGATTCTTCATACACATGGATCGGGCAAGATTTCTGCTGGTCGTTTTAAAGGTGACAGACTAGGGGGAAAGCATAATGGTTTGATTCCCAGCGCTGACCACCTGAGTGGTTCGCAGTAATAGCTACAGGACTTCTCACAAACTCTGCTGAAGGCCCAACGTTCATTCCCCCTCCCTCTCTTCACAGGCAGAGGCTGGCAGTTCCTACTCCCTCCCTAAAGCAGAAGGCACTCCACCAGGCCTACAGAAGCAGCGTGACCCCACGGGAGGCTCCCCTCCATTTTCTTATTCATGTGATGTCAGGCCCCAGACGTGGTTCTTTCCTTCTTATGTCTCCGCTACAGAAGGCTCCTTCTAAGCCAGGTGCCTGCAAATACATTTGCTTACTCTGCCCAGTACCTGTTCAATTTCCATAGAAAGATATTCACACATGAAGGTGAAAAGCCAAAGAACTTAACTCCTTCAGTTACCCTTTTTTAAAATTTTGTATTTATTTTTATTATTTTAAAATTTTTTTAATGTAATATATTTATATATATTTTACATCATTGTTCATTTTTGTACAATGTTTGCGTTCTCCTCTCAGGTGTAGTCCCCATAGAATTCCCACCACCAATTCACCCGTGCACCATCACCATAGTCCCCTGTGCTCTTCCCTCCCCTGTTTTGATCCCTCTCTTTCCCCCTCCCCTGCAGAATGACTCTGATTTATAGGTGTCTATTAATTTTTTTATTTTTATTGTTATTTTTTCCCTGATTCCTCCTATAAGTGAAACCATCTGATATTTTCCTTTTTCCTTCTTACTTATTTCACTGAGCATAATCCCTTCCAGCTCCATCCATGTTGCTGCAAGTGGCATGAGTTTATCTTTTTTGATTGCTGAATAGTATTCCATTGTGTATATGTACCACATCTTGATCCAGTCATCCAGTCATCTATTTGGGTTGTTTCCATATGTTATCTATTGTAAATAGTGCTGCAGTAAACACAGGGGTGAGGTATCCTTTTGGAGCAAGGTTTTTGTCCTTTGGGTAGGTTCCTAGGAGTGGAATTGCTGGGTCATAAGGTAGCTCCATTTTTAGTAGTTTGAGGAACCTCCACACAGCTTTCCATAGTGGGTTAACCATTTTTTTTAAAAAAGATTTATTTATTTATGCATACAGAACAGACAGAGTGACCGAAACACACTGCTGAGAGGAGCAGTGGGTGAGACAGGAGAGGTCTGCTGCACCATGTGGGCTGCTCCCTGGTCGGCTGGGGACCAAACTCGCACTGCAGAGGCTGCAGACAGCCTCAAAGTGCTGTGTTCAACCCCTTGCGCCACCAGGGAGGCCCATTACCCATTTTCTTTTGCATTAATTCCTCAATATCTACCAATCATTCCCACCAGGACACAAGCAGTTTAAAATATACACACAAACAGGGGCCTCCCTGAATACGCAGGGGTAAGTCTCAGCACTATCAAGCTATTGCCAGCCACTGCGCCATGAGTTTGATCCCCGGCCAGGGAACAACCCACATGGCGCAGCAGATCTCTCCTGTCTCCCCACTGCTTCCCTCAGCAGTGTATTCCAGTGGATCTGCCTGTTCCGCTCCCCACTCTGTCTCTTGTGAGTCCTCTCACCCCCCACACCTCTAGCCTACATCCCAGTTTTTCTATGCATAAAAATAAATCTTTAAAAAAATTAAATATACACCCCAAATTCCTTAATGTTCCAGCATTCCACTGTTAGGCATATACCTGACAGGTGCATGCACAAACTCACCAAAAGACACATACAAAAATGTTTCTAACAGCATTGTCTTATGTCAAAACTGGATACACCTCTACTGCCCATCAGAGATAGAATGTATGAACTGTGGTAGAGTCACGCAATGGAATACTATACAGCAACGACAATGAACCACCTGCCATTACATCTACACAATTCACAATCTATACGTGACAGGTACATCTCACAAATAAAATTTTGAGCAAAGAAAGCTCGATATAAATAGAGCACATAAAAGGTTTTACTGATGCTATGAAAAGTCAGGACAGGTCATCTTGGAAGGGAGGCGTGACTAGAAGGGGCTTCTGGGTCCAGGTCATAGTTTAATGTTTAAGCTGGGTGTTGGTTCCATGTATGTAAAAACACAAGGTGTGTGCATATGATTAGTGCACTTTTCTCTATGTTATACTTCAATGAGCTCTTTTTAAGCATTCTACTCCCTTACGCACACATTTGTCTCTCGCCACCTTCTCCAAAAGTCTATCCAGTAGAGCAGCTGACAGGGAGGCTGGCCCTTGGGTTTTTCTAGATATAGAAGCACAGGACACACATGGAAACACAAACCCAACTAATTACATCTATCCCGAAATACTCACAATGAACAGGGTGTGTGTGTTGCATAAGGAGCACCAGTCATTAAAAGGTAGGAGACAAAGTTAAGTAATCATCTTGGACCATATTTAATGGAACAAAGTCAACAGACAGAATGAGAGAATAATGGCAATAAAAATCATCTAACAAGTGTCCTCAGACAACAAGACATCATTGCCCTGGTTTAAAACAAATCCATTAGGGGACATGAAAAAGGAAAAACTAGGAAATATCAGATATTATGAAAAAATATATTTTTTAAAGAAAACTATGACATAATTTAAAAGTCAAAGAAAATATAAATAACAGAACATAAATGGCCAAAGGCTAATTCTGTGGGAACAACTTGAAAAATTCAGAAAAGAGAATAAAATGTCTAGGATGGAAATTATGAAAGAAATCATCAGATACATAAAAAACTTATCAAGCAAATCCTGGATTAATTTATACAAGCAATAGATAATTTAGTCCCTGCTGCATGCCTGGTGCTGATGTAGATACATATTAGCAATTGCAGAAGGAGAGAAGAAAACACTCTACCCCCCCTCCAAAAGCAATAATCAAGGGATCAATAGAAGACTTGAATCTTCACTTTGAAAGGCGTACCCAGCACAAAGCGAGAACATGGAAAGAAGGCATATATTCCCCCATACCTCAGTAACAGTTCATAACTCCCACGTTTTTATTTAATTCTACAAGTCTCTAGACTGAAGAGAAAAAAGATCACTATGCAGAAAAGAACTTAACCTTGCCCAAAAAGGGGTCTGGCCTGTGCCCTCAGCTGCTTGCCTGGGAGTCATGGGCTAGCCAAAGAGTCACAATGTAGAATGGGGACTAGTCACTCCAGAAAAACCCACTACATGATTTAGAGGAGGCTCTAGAAGAGCTGGAAACTGGAGATTGAAAATAAGCAAGTAAGGCAGTCAGCTGTGCTTACGTAATGAAACCTCAGTAAAACTGTCCATTTTAACAACAGACAATATTTAAGGCCATTTCTCAGATAGTAAATGGTCAGTTGATTACATGAAATCCCTTCCATACCCATCTGTTCTGGGGAATAGATATTTGTGGATCGTATTCTGGATAAGGACTTACTGCTTGCCATGTCCTGGCAACATCAATATTAGTGCCATTCTCATCCCCTTCTTGTCCCATACAACAGCTTTTCTAACTAAGGAACTTTATGGCAAATAAAATGAAACAAAGCTTTAAAAAAAAAACTGTACATGGAGGCCCACACAAGCTTTTCTGTTGGACAATACTTGATTTATGTTGTCACACACATCACACATCAGGTGGGATACTAATGTGTCTTGATTCCACAGGGAGAGCACAACAGAAGCTCTAGGTTTGGTACCTCCCAAACTCCACCCTATGTGCTTCCTCCCTCAGTGGAGCTTAATCTGTATCTTCTGCCTGTAATAAACCATAATTGTGAGTACAATATAGCTTTCATGGAGTTCTGTGAGTCCTTCTAGTGAATTATAAAACCTGATGGTAGTTTGAGGAACCAACTTGCAATTGATATCATAAGTGAGGACAGTCTGGGGGCTGTGCACTCGATATACAAATTTGGTGAGCTCAATCACCTAAACTCTGCAAATACTTATAAACTAAATCATAATAAAGAAATCAAAAAAGATGAAAATAATGTGGATAAGAAAAAGTGGTGAACAATGACACTAAAAACTTTAATATAGTCATGTGATTCAATAGGTCAGAAAGGAGATTCATCCACATTCCCCCAGTCAGTATTTGAACACTGACAAATCATCTATTTAAAACCAGTTCAGCTATAAAGAACAACTGTTATATGTTATCAAAGCTTCCCTTGTGGTTGGGTGGGGGTTGAGGCAGTGTTGTGTAAGTAGAAGAGAACAAGGAGATATAAAAATCCCCTTGAGAATGACAAGGCCTCTTCACTATATGTAGGTGATGTCATTAGCATGATGATGGATTATTTAAAAAATTGGCAAAGAACTTGAATAATTTCTCCAAAGACGATACATGAATGGCCAATAAGCACATGCACAGATGCTCAACAACATTAGTAGTTGAGATACTACTTCATGACTACCAAGACGGTTATAATGAAATTATGGAAAGTAACAAGTATGGTAAAGATGTAGAGACTCAATGTCCTTTTGTATACTGCTGATGGGAATGTGAAATGGTACAGTAGCTATGGGAAACAGTTTGGCAGTTCCTCAAAAAGTTACACATGGAATTACCAATTCTACTCTCACGTATAGATCCAAAGAAATTGAAAGCAAGGATTTGAACAGATAATGTTCACAGCAGCATTAGTCATAATACCACAAAAATGGAGACAATCCAAGGGTCAATCAACAGATAGATGGATAAACAAAATATGGTATAAACATATGAAGGAATATTATTCAGCCATAAAAAGGAATGAAGTTCTGATACATACTACAACATGAATGAAATCTGCCGTTGTATGAATCCGTTATATGAGTTACGTAGAAAAGGTAAATTCATAGAGACAGAAAGTAGATTGCAGGAGGCTGTGGATTGGGGGAATGGGGAGTTATTGCTTAATGGATACAGAAATTCTGTCTGGGATGATCAAAAACTTTTGGAAATGAACAGTGGTGAGTGATGGTTGTACATCGTAGATGTAAGTAGCATCATTGAATTACAGACTAAAAATGGTTAAAATGGCAAATTTAAGTTATATATATTTTAACACAATTTAAAAACTTATAATATATCCAAACCCAATGAACTGTATACTTTACATGGGTGAATTGTATGTCTTGTGAATTTTTATCATCAATAAAGAAATAATTCAATACAGTTGTTAAAAAAAAAATCTAAGTAGTGATAAAATGAAACTTTTTTTTTTAAATACCCAAAGTAAACCAAAAAAAAAAAAAAACAAGAAAAAGAGGTACAGAGGATGGGGTAAATAAAAACAAAAGAGCAAGATGGCTTACTTAAACACAACTCTCAATATTTACATTATGTAAGTGGAACTTCATATATTCAAGAAGTTAGAGGAAAGCATGTACATGTTAATGAGACACACTGATATAAAAATGATACAAAAATTATCCAAATCAAACTTAGAAGATAAAAAATACATGGTGGGAGTGATAGCAGATTTCAAAAAAATGCAGAAGAAAATGTAAGTAAACTTAAAGAAGATATAGCAGTATAAACTATACTAAATGAAACAGTGAAAAAGACCAAAAAAATGAACAGAGTATCAGTGAGTTGTGGGACAACTTCAAGTGACTTCATGGACACATAACTGGATTCCAAAAGGAAAAGAGAGGAAAATACCTGAAAAAATAATGGCTGAATGTTTTCATAATTTGACAAAAACTACAAACCCATAGCTGAAAAGTCTAGATCTACATAAAAGAACTAAGAGCCCAGAAATGGAAACTAGATGGGTAAATATAAAAGATGTTTTTCTTATTATTTAAATCTCTTTAAAATACAATTAACTGCTTAAATAAAAATAACAGTAAAGTTTGTAATATGTGTATAAATAAAACCATGACAACAATAGCATCAAGGCCAAATTGAAAAAACGGAGGCATACTATTGTAAAGTTGTTATACTATTTGTTACTACTTGAAGGCAGACCACGTAAATAAAAGACAAAGAACAGATGGGACAAATAGGAATCAAACAGCAAAGACAGTAGACTTAAAACCTTCCCAGAAAGGAAACTCCAGGCTAAGACTACTTCACTGGTGAATGCTTCTAAACATCTAAGGAACAGATAATACTGATAGTACCTAAAGTCTTTCAGAAGCTAGAGAGAGGTAACATTTCCCAACTTGTTTAAAGAGACATGCAAATCCCTGATACCAAAACCTAAAAAGAAAAATAAATTACGGATCAACATCCCTTATGAACACACAGATACAAAATTCCTGAACAAAACTACAGCAAATACAATAAGGCATTATATAAAAAGAATAGTAAGATCTTGTAGCAATGAAGACTATTTTAACATTCAAAACTCAGTGTAGTTTACCATATTAATGAAATAAAAAAGGTTAAAAACCATATAATCTTCTCAATGATGGAGAAAAACACTTGATAAAATTCATGAATGAAACTCTCAAATGAGGAATTGATGGAAGCTTTTTCCACATGATAAAGAATACCTGCAAAAAACCTGCAACTAACAACAATAATTAATGATAATATAGACTCTTCCCCATAAGATGTGCATCATGCAGCAATGTCCACCATCATCATGTATTCATTATTGTGCAGAAAGTTCTAGCCAGTGCAATAAGGTAAGAAAAAGAAAATGGCAGGAATCTGCCATTAGAATTAATATATGAATTTAAAGCTACTAGAATTAATATATGAATTTTGCAAAGCTGCAGAATACAAATTAGGTCAATATACAGAAATTAAACTTATTTGTATATATTAGCAATAAAATTTGGAAAGTGAAATTTTAAAATTTACAAAAGAATACAAAAGCCTGGAAAGTACTGAAAAGTAAACTTCACAAAATATGTGCAAAACACCAAAAACTACAAAACACCATAGCAAAAGAAAGAAATCTGAAAGCAAAAGTAGGGAAATGCCATATTTATGGACAGAAAGACTCAATGCTGTTAAGACACTAATTCTTTTTTTTTAAAAGATTGATTTATTTATACAAGAACTGGGGTATAGGTCAGTGGTGCGAGAGGGTGAGAGAATTCACCAGAGACAGAGCGGGGAGCAGAACAGGCAGACGGACCAAAGACAATGCTGAGGGGAGCAGCGGGCAAGGCAGAAGAGGTCTGCCACGCCATGTGGGTTTCTCCCTGGCCGGCCGGTAATCAAACCTGCACTGCAGAGGCTGCAGACAGTTTCACAGCACAGCGCTCAACCTGCTGCCCTACCAGGGAGGCCCAAGATACCAATTCTTCCTAAACTGACATATAGATTAAATGTAATCACAAAGATCCAAGTTTTTATAATGGAAAAGAACCTTATTCTGAAATACAAATGCAATGTGAAGACAATCTGGGAGAATAACAAAGTTAAAAGACATTAAGAGAATTCTATGAAGCCAGTTACCAATAAAATGTGGTACTGATAAAAAGAGAAAAATCAATGGAATAAAATAGAACCTCACAGAGGAGATAGATTAAAAAATTTGTGATAGGTAGATTGTATGATGGAATGGTTCAAAACGATAAAAAAGAACAAACTATTACTGCATTTAACATGGAAAAAAACATAATGGTGAAAGAGGCCACTCACAAGTGTTATATAAAATGATTCCACTTCTATAAATTTTAAGAATGGGTAACACATTAGTGTGATCAAAATCAGAAAAATGGTAACCTCTGCTGGGGATTATTAATTTGAAGGGCCAATGAGACGGCCTTCTGAGGTGTTGGAAATATATCTTGATCTAGGTTGAAGTCAAATGGGTTTATTTTTTTTTTATTTTATTATTTTTAAATTTTTTTAATATATTTTATTTTATATAATTCTTACAACATCAAATGGGTTTAGACATGAAAAATGACTGAGTTGTACACTTATAATAAATACACCTGCTATTTTATTGTATGTATATTATTCCTTCAAAAAGAGACAAACAGCACCTTTTGTTAGTTTGGGTCATATAATCAGCAAAATTATGCCAACTTTTATTTGGAAAGTAAAAGACTATACTAGTACTGATCAAGCAAGCACAGACCATTCCAGAAAAACTAAGGTAATCTTTAGGGAATAAAAATACAAGATGAATTGGAAGTATCAAATAAATTGGTCTGTAGATTTTCAGTCAGATACTTTGCCTCCAAGCAATGGGTTACAGAGAGTTATTATTGAACTTCAGGTGTTTTTACATCCCACACAGTGCCACCATCCCTCCAATTACTACCTGCTTTGATGAAGAAACTGTTATCTTCTGAAGACCTTTTAACAGATATCCCTGTAAAACTAACAGGGATACTTAGCTCTTAGTAAGTACCAGACACTGTATTAGGCACTTCGCATGTATTATCTGATTTAACACTTAAAACACTATGAAATCAGTACATCTTTATTTTACAGAGGATGACAACAGAAGTATAGAGAGGTTAAGTAACTTGCCTAAGGTAATACAATTAGTAAGTGGCAGAGATGGGATTCAAATCCACACAGTTTGACTCTTAACCATTACAATCTAGCTGTCATGTATACCACCACTCACTGAACACGATCACTTACTGATCTGTTTCAAGGTATAAAGTTCTACTCTACACTGAATTTATAATTGTGTAGACCCAAATTATAACTAATCTCTGCTCTGTCCTCCTTTTTTCCCACTGTAAATTTGTCATTTTTCCTCAAAACTTTCATCCACTAGCCAGATGGGAAATACAGACACACATAACTATAGCCTAAGTAGGTCACAAGGATACACTGTCCCCTTTAAGGCCCATCGGTCCTTTTGAATCCATGACACTTGCATGGTATCAGGGAAGCTCAAACTGTTGTGATAAGTAAGTGGTTGAACTATCCAGTTCTCAGGATTCAAACTGAGTTCACAATTGGCCTGTATGTTTGTTTCAGGTTTAATAAATTATACAGAGAACAGACTGGTAAATGCAGCTGAGCAATCAAATTATGTAGGCATGAGTCCAAGCTTTAAAGACTTACTTCTGTATATTGAGTATGTTTTCCAAACCAAAACTTCTTTAATGGCTATTAATGGGTCATGTTTTTTTCCCCTATACCTCATTGTCATCTTCATTACCACAATGCAATCACAAAATGGAGGTAAGAAAGAAAAATAAAACACTAAAGTATTAGATTTAAGACATTAGTAATCAACCACAGTTTCCCTACATCCTGAAAAATACTATAATATCCCACACTTACCGAATCCACAAGATTTTCTGTTTTATCTATCAATAATTCCAATCTTTCTCCTCGCTGAGCTACCAGATCTGAAAATGTTGGAAAAAAAGAAAATGTTTATATTATAAATTTGCTATTTTTATCTTTAAGTAAATTGCAACTTTAATTATAGTTAGTATTCTTGACAACTCATATTCATACAGAAGAACTTCTATCAGTAATAAAAGACTTCAATAAAACTTATCAACTAAAATAAGAATTTGTATTTTTTTCTGTTAAAGACCAGGTACTCAATATTTCAGGCTTTGTGAGCCAAATGATCTCTGTCACAATTAGTCAGACAGAAAATATGTAAATGAATGGACATGACTGTGTTCCCAATGAAACCTTATATAGAAAAACAGGAAGCTGGCCAGATCTGAGAGCTGTAGTTTTTTTAATCGCTATTTTTTTTAAAGATTTATTTATTTATACAAGAGCTGGGGTACAGGCCAGAGGTGCCGGAGGGTGAGAGGATTCACCAGAGACAGAGTAGGGAACAGAAGAGGCAGACTGAAATATACTGCTGAGGAGAGCAGCAGGCAAGACAGGAGAGGTCTGCCACGCCATGTGGGTAGCTCCCTGGCCAGCCAGGAACTGAACCTGTTCAATCCGCTGCGCCACCAGGGAGGCCCTAAATTAAGGATATGATCTGGGAGTAAAGAAGAAAATTGAAACTCTCCAAATGAGTGAAAATTGGACACTTTCAGAATTGCCATAGGAAGAGCTCCACAGACCCGTTCTGCAACAAAATAATCATGAATGGTAAAAATTATAAAGATAATAAAGCAACCATTTAAAAATTTTTGAAAACTGTACGTAATAAGGTCATGCAAAGGAACCCCCCATTAGATCACTAGTGGATTTCTCAGCAGAAACCCTACAGACCAGGAGAGAATAAAATGATATATTCACAGCGTCAAAAGGAAAAAATTGCCAGTCAAGAATACTCTATACAACAATGTTATTGTTAGGACATGAAAGAGAAATAAAGACATTTTTAGATACACAAAAGCTGAGGGAATTCAACAACACTAGACTTGCCAAGTAAGAAATGCTGAAAGGAAAAGCCGCTAACTAGTGACATGAAAACATATGAACGTATATAATACAATGATAAAGTTAAGCGTACAGTCAGATTTAGAAAACTAATTCTGTAATAGGCTGGTGCAGTAAATATTTAACCATAGCATAAAGGCTAAAAGAAAAAAGTATCAAAAATAACTATAGCTACTACAATTTGTCAATAAATTCACAGTATAAAAGAGGTAAATTTTGACATCACAAATATAAAAGGGAACATAAACAGGCAGAGCTTTTGTATGTGATCCAAGTTTTAAGCTACTATCAGTTTATATATATATATTTTTTTTTAAAGATTTATTTTTATTGATTTATTTATTTATTTATATAAGCACTGGGCACAGTCAGAAGCACGGGAGGGTGAGAGAATTCACCAGAGCCAGAGCGGGGAGCAGAGCAGGCAGAAAGACCGAAGTACACTGCTGAGGGGAGCAGCGGGCGGAAGGAGAGGTCTGCGCGCCATGTGGGATCCTCCTCCAGTGGCCGGGGAGCAGCCAGGGATCGAACCGGCGCTGCAGAGGCTGCGGGCAGCTTAGCAACCCAGCACTCAACCACTGCGCCACCGGGGAGGCCCTACTATCAGTTTAAAATGGACTGCTTTATCTATGTTTTATGCAAACCCCATGGTAACCACAAAGTAAAAACGTATAGTAAATTCTCAAAAGATCAATAATAGGAAAGCAGAGCATATCACTCTGGAAAATCACTTTATAAAGGCAGGCAGGGAAAGAGGGAAAAAGGAACAATGGAATTATAAAACAGCCAGAAAACAATGGAGAGGATGGCATTACTAAGGCTTATCAATAATTACTCTGAATGTAAATGGATTGAATTCACCAATTAAAAGGCAAAGAATGGCTGGATGGATAAAAATAACAATCCAACTATATGCTGCCCATAACAGACTACTTCTGATTTAAGTATTCATGTAGACTCAAAGTGAAGGGATAGAAAAAGATATTCTATGCAAGTGGAAACCAAAAGAAAGTAGCGAGCAGCTATACTTTTATCAGAAAAAAATTGACTTTAAGCTAAAAGTGATAACAAGAGACAAAGAAAGTCAATATATAATAATAAAGGAGCCAATTCATCAAAAGATATAATAATCATAAATATATGTACACACAATATCAGTGTACCTAAATATCTTAAACATACACTAACAGAAATCCTGCCATTTGCAACAACATGGATTTCACGAGGGCATTATGCTTAGTGAGATAAGTCAGACAGAAAAAGACAAAAAATGTACAATATCACTTACATGTAGTACCTAAAATGCCAAACTCCGAAAGAGAAGAGAATGGTCATTACCAGGGACTTGGGGGTGGGGGGAAATAGGGGAGATGTTAAAAAGTACAAACTTGCAACTAGAAGATAAATTGTGGATATCCAGTGTACAGAATAGTGATTGCTGCCAACAATATGTACTATATATTTTAAAATTGCTAAGAGACTAAATTTTAAATATTCTTACCCCCCCCACACACAAAAGATAATGTGGTTTGATAGTGATGTTAGTTATAACTAAGATGGTAATTACAATGTAATAATATATGAATGTATCTAATCAACATGTTATACACCTTAAACTTACAATGTTATATGTAAATTATATTTATTTCAAAAATAAAACAAGGACAAATGGGGATTTATAGCCATAGAACAGAGGGAGTGAACAGTGAATGAATTACTAAGAGGAAAAATCAAGGGTAAGGGATTATTGCTAAACTGGCCTAAAAGAATCTTGCTAAAGGCAGGCTAAGGCCTACATCAATGGTAGATGATGAGGAGCTTGATCAGCAATCAAGGGTAATCATGTACCAGGGTTGGTAAAGGACTGACTTCGGGGGAGTCTGCTAAGACTGGCTCAGGCAGGCCGAGGATGCGCCCAGGATAAGATCTAGTCAGGTAAGGTTAAGGGGAGGCTGTCTAATGTTTGCTCAAGCAGAGTTTCTGTCATGTAAAACATGTTTAAAAATGTAAAGAAGACCTAAATAAATGGAAAAAACTCTCATGTTCATGGTAATATTCCCCAAATTGATCTATAGATTCAACACAGTGCCCATCAAAATCCCAGCTACCAGTTTTCTTTAACAGAAACTAACAAGCTCATTCTAAAATATTTATGGAAATGAAAAGTACCCAGAATAGTCAAAGCAATCTTGGGGGAGGGGGTGAAATTGGAAGACTCATACTTCCAGATTTTAAAAGTCCACAATAATCCTGATGGTGTGGCACTGGCATAAGGACAGACATACAGATAAATTGCACAGAACTGAGAATCCAAAAATAAACCAATACACCTATGGAAAACTGATTTTTTATTAGGATGCTAAGACCTGTCAATGAGGAAAGAAAGTCTTTTCAACAAATGGTCTGAGACAACTGGATATAAACATTTAAGAGAACTAAGTCAGACCCTTCCCTTACCTTATACACAAACATTAACTCAAAATAGATCACAGACATAAATGTAAGAGCTAAAACTATAGCTCTCTTAGAAGCAAGCACAGGAGTAAATCTTTGTGACCTTGGGTTAGGCAATGGTTTCTTATGTATGACAAAAGACAAACAACAAAAGAAAAAAAACAAATCAGACTTTATCAAAACTAAAAACTTTCATGCTTCAAAGAACACTATTAAGAAAATGAAAAGACAATCCATTAGAATGGGAGAAAATACTTGCAAATCATCCTGAAAAGGGTGTATACAAAGAGCTCATATATATTTCAATGATAAAAAAGCAACTCACTTAAAAAATAACAGATTTTGAATAGATATTTGCCCAAACATAAAGAAATGGCCCATAAGTGCACAAAAAGATGATCAACATCATTAGTTATCAGGGAAATCAAAACAGAATCTTAATAAGCATTTCACACAGATCAATTGGCCATAATCAAAGACATAATACCAAGAGGATATGGAGAAACTGGAATTCGAATGCATTGTCACTGAGAATCAAAAATGGTGTGGCCACTTTAGCAAAGTTTGGCCTTAAAGTTAACATGTAACCCAGCAATTCCACCCCCAGGTATATAACCAAGAATATGGAAGAATGATCACAAAAAAACTTGTACACAAATGTTCAGAGAACCATTATATTCATAATAACCAAAAAGTGGAAACCATCCAAATGTCTGTCTAGTGATGAAAACACATCAATACAATTAGAAATTATTCAGCGATAATAAGGAATGAAGTACTGATACATGCTACACATGAATTTCAAAGTTATTATGATATACCAACCATTTTCTCTGACCATGAAGGCATCAAACTAGAAATAAACCATAAAAGGAAGGCAAGTAACTTTCCTACCTCATGGAGATTGAAACCCACATTACTGGAAGACCACTGGACTAATGAGGAGATCAAAGAAGAAATTAAAAAATACTTTGAGTTGAATGACAAAGAGGACACCAATTTCCTAAATGTATGGGATGCAGCAAAAGCAGTAATAAGAGGAAAATATATAGCAATAGAGGCTCAGGCTGTTGAGCGCAGTGCTGGGAAGCTGTCCAAGCCTCTGCAGTGCCGGTTTGATCCCAGCCGGCCTCAGAGCAACCCACATGGTGAGCAGACCTCTTCTGTCTCGCCTGCTGCTCCCCTCAGTAGTGTATTTCGGTACTTCTGCTTGTTCTGTTCCCCGCTCTGTCTCTGGTGAATCCTCTCACCCTCCCGCGCATCTGGCCTGTACCCCAGTTCTTGTATAAATAAAATTAATCTTAAAAAAAAGAAACAAGAAAGAACTCAAACAACCTAATCTCAAAGCTCAAAGAACTAGAAAAAGAACAAAAAAAAACCCAAACCAGTAGAAGAAAAGAAATAATAAAAATCAAAGCAGAAATAAATGAAATCAAAACTAAAAAAAAAAATTCAAAAGATCAAGAAAACCAAAAGTTGATTCTTCGAAAAAATAAATAAAATAGACAAACCCCTAGCCAGGCTCACAAAGGAAAAA